TACTGGCTACTTGTGGTGGTGGTGGTGGTGGTGGTAGTGGTTATAAGAACTTGTCAGTAAACTTAATAATGATGGACTTTCAATACTAGACTATTTTTTCCCCTATTTTCTATAGGCAGCTCAACAAATCAAGAAGCTTTACAAGTTATTTCTTAAAGTGGATGCAACCCAAGTAGAAATAAATCCTTTTGGACTGACTCCAGATGGAAAAGGTACCAGGAATAAAATAAATAATAAATAAATAATAATTATTTATCTTGATAGAGTTGTTTTATGAGCAATGCTAGCACAATACATGTAATTCATTTAGTTCGTTAAGCACCAAGCTTTACATTTTTTTCCCGGTCTGGTATCCTAAAAAATCGTGCGTTCTGATAGGCTGTTTGAGTGGGTGGTATTTTGTCAGTATCAGTCAGCACTCACGGTCCGGTATCCTTTGCCGCTAAACAACAAAACAGAACGATTACAAAAACAAGTAAAAAATATGGGGAAAGAATAAATAAGTTATTTACAGTCCTATAGTCAATCCGGATAGGGAAAAACTGTGCCCTTGGTCCGTATATTCAAGACCTCGGGATACGTATGATCAATCTGCTAGATATTTTGATTTTGATTTGTCTATCTTCTAGTGGTGTGCTTTGATGCCAAGTTCAACTTTGATGACAATGCAAGGTTTAGACAAAAAGGCATCTTTGCTCTTGAAGACAACACAGAAACTGATCCACGTGAAGTACAAGCAGCAGAACATGACCTGAACTACATTGGAATGGATGGCAACATTGCGTGCTTAGGTAATGAGCTGTTTTGGGTTATTTAAACCTCTTTAAAGACTCTGAGTTATATTTTTAAATTCCCAAGTTTCATGTTGGAGGACTGGGTCGAAATCAATAGTGTTTGAAATCCATGGATGACGTTGCAATTGTGTACCATGGGATTGAAATGAGGACAAGCCAAGCCCAGCACACATGCTAAAATGCTGCAACGATGTTTTGTGGTCTTGTTGTTTCCATTTCATGAAAGAACTGGTTTTTCGACTGATATTCTTCTTCTTTCTTCTTATAAATATTAAATTATTATTATTATTATTATTATTATTATTATTATTATCTTGTCCATGTAATTGAAGCCTTTATTTGCAATGTTTGTCTGCATTTCGATCACACTTTTCCAGTGTTTTGAAGTTGGATGCAAAATGACACCAATTAGCCTCCAGTACCACTTTACCAATGTCTTTATTTTTTATCAACCATGAAAAATGCTATTAATAATTTACTACTTATTTGAACTTCTGTTTTAAGTGAATGGTGCTGGCCTTGCTATGGCAACTATGGACATTATAAAGTTACATAAAGGTGAACCATCTAATTTCCTTGATCTTGGTGGTGGCGTCCAGGAAGAAGGAGTGCTGCATGCATTCAAGATCGTTAGCCAGGACCCAAGGGTGTGTACTGCATAATATATTAGATGGTATCCCATGTCTTTTCTTTTGTGTGTTTTTTCTTAGCAATGATTGCAAGCCATTAAAACATATAATTTGGCAAATTTAAGGCATAAAGAGTGACCCAAAACAGAACCCAACATCAGATCCCCAGAATGAGATTGAACATCTGAATCCCAAGGCAGTGATGCAGTTTTGGAAATTTTCATTTCAGGTTCGAGTGATTCTAGTAAACATATTTGCTGGTATTGTTGACTGTGCTGTAGTTGCCAGTGGTATTGTATCTGCCTATGAGAAGCTCAAACTTGATGTCCCAATAGTAGTTCGATTAGAAGGTAAGAACTGACTGTTTGGTATTGAAAAATGATATCCATAAATCGCCTGTTGTCATTGCTGATTTATCTGCCAATGCTAGTTCTGCTGTTGTTGTTGCTGCTGTTGTTGTTGCTGCTGTTGTTGTGTGGTCCTGCTGCTGCTGTTGTTGTGTGATCCTGCTGCTGCTGTTGTTGTTG